AAAAAAGTACACCCTTGGAAACCCTACTCTGTCCTGTAGGGTTTCTATGAGTTGGAATTTTGTCTAGGGCATTTGGTGGGCCATTCTAAGAGACTAGACCTCATGTCCAGGCCATAGGAGCCATGTGGGAGTAAGAAAGATCATTCTGGTGACCTGTAGGAGAAGGCAGTTTGTGTGGTGGAGGTAAGGCAGTCCTCTTAGTAGAAGTGGTGGGGCTGATCCTTCCTGGTAAAAAAGATGCTTTTTCTTCACATAAAGTTGTTAGCAGCTTGCCTAGGCCAAAGGGAGCAGCCCTCTTTTCTATTTCACATATAGGCCTTCTGGTGGGTAACAATGACCTTGTCACTGGCTTTGGGTGATATTGCAGTCCAGAGAATGGGAGAAGGGGAATGTGCAGACAGAATATTCTGATGTAGAATCTTGTCTTCTGAGTGCATCAGGTCTAAGAGGGTAACCATCTAGAGGGGAGAGATAGGAGTCAAGGAAAGGCTGAAATGGAACAGTGCCTGGGCAACTCAGAATTCATAACCTGCTAAGTAACCACAGTTCTCAGCATGCCAGAGGGCTGACCATTATCCTAAGCCCTCCCCCACCTAAAGTTTTGATCTGTCTGTTAGAGGATTTTTTCCATTTGTGGATACATATCTATAGTTTAGAAGGAATTGAAATTGTTCATAAATTTTTCTTTGGAGCAGAATAATGATCAGAAATTCAATGGCATTTGTAGTCATAAATTATGTAGTAGCCTTTAAAAGAGGAAAAAGAAGCAGTATTTTTATAATATGTTTTATTTAATATATCTAAAATGCTATCATTTCAACATGTTAGTATCAATATAAATTTATTAATGTTTTATATTTTTTCCTACTAGTGTTTGAAAATTGGTATATATTTTATACTTTGATAAATTTTGACAGGGAATACTTGATCTATATTTAGATTTAATAAAATTCACAGTTGGTAGCAGTATTATAATAGCCAAACAGTGTAAACAACTTAAATGTCTGTCAGATGGTGAATGGACAAACAAATTGTGGTATGTTCATACAGTGAAATATTACTTGGCAGTAAAAAGGAATGAAGTGCTTTTACATGCTATAGCATAGATGAATCTTGAAAACATTATGCTCAGTTAAAGAAGCCTGTCATGAAGAATCATACATTGCATGATTCCATTGATAGATATGTCCAGAAAAGGTCAACCACAGAGATGAAAAGTAGCTAGTGGTTGCTTAGGGCTGGTGTGAACTGGAGAGAAATGGAGAATGATTCCTAATGAGTTATGGGGTTTCTTTGGGGATGATAAAAATGTTCTAAATTCAGATTGTGATGATGGTTGTGTAACTTTGAATATACTAAAAGTGTTAAATGGCTAAATTTCATGATACGTGAATTTTATTTCAATAACGATGTTAAAAACATTTACAATTGAAATAGTAGATTCACATATCCATATTGTTTCAAATATACTTAAAAGTTTCCCAGTAGCTGGATTTTTTTAAATTAATTAAAATTTTAGTTTTCATTCACACTAGTCACATTTTAGGTGCTGCTATCATGTTGGAAAGTACAGGTCTTGATTAGCTTAATCTTTGTAGAAATTGAACTTGATTGGATTTCTGTGATTGGATTGCTGGGTGGTACAAATGGTTAAGTGTGCAACTATTGGCCAAAATGTTTGTGGTTTGAACCCAACCAGAGGCACTTTAGAACAGAGGCCTGGAAATCTGCTTCCAAAAGGTCACAGCCTTGAAAACCCCAGGGAACAGTTTTAGTCTGCGCATGTGGTGTCACCATGAGTCAGAATTTACTTAATGGCAACAAATAACAGATTTCTGTGACTCTGTGCAGCAGGATCTTGAAAATATGAGGAGTAAGATTGCTGACCACCATTTCTCTTTTTGTGGACAGATTTCAACATGACCAAACAAGGGCTGTTGAGATGTAGCACCAATCTGAACCTGGTCACTGACTGCATGGAACACGCTCTGACATCCGTGTATCCCCGCACTCGGTATTCAGCTGGTTGGGATGCTCAGTTTTTCTTCATCCCTCTATCTTACTTACCTACATCACTGGCAGACTATATATTGACTAGATCTTGGCCCAAACCAGCCCAGGCTGTCTAAAGAAAGCCAGTTTGATGGCTCTTAGAGTGAAGAAGACAAAAGTCCGAAATTGGTTGTTAATATCTTAGTTATCCTTGTGTAGAACCTAGACTTTTTGTACCAATAAGATTTCTTGCCTAAACTCATTTATGTGGGGTCATCAAACAACCAACATGTTTATGTTCCAGATATCCAAAGCTTACTCCTTTAGATGATGAATCTTTATTATTTTTAAGAGGGTATTTCCAAAATACATTGTATTTCCTTGCCCTATTAAACAGAATAGAGTGAAAACAGTGTAACCTGTTGTTGTGTTTTTTATTTCAGTGCTGTAATAAACTGTTGCTCAGGAACTAGTGAGGAATATGAGTCTGTTTGTCCTAACTCAAAATGAGTCTAGTATAGTACTTTTATTGAATATTTGATTTTGTTTCTAAGGAGCTCTGGCGGCCTAAGGCATTTGACTGCTAACTAGAAGGTTGGCAGTTCAAACCCAGCAGCCACTCTGTGAAGGAAGATGGGGCAGTCAACTTCCATAAAGATTTACCACCTTGGAATCCCAATGAGGGTCATTGTCAGAATTGACTTGATGGCAATGAGTTTGATTGTTGGGTTTTTGTTTTCTACCATTTTTGCTAGCTGCCATTTTTTAATGTATTTCTTCCTTATTTAGAAAGAGGTGATTTTTTTTTTTTTTTTTTACTTTACTTTTTATGGTGAAAACACACATACCAAGACATTCACCAACAAAACAACTGCCACATTTACAGCTCAGGGACAGCCCGTGACATTTTTCATGTAGTGCCATCGTTATTGCTATCTTTTTCCAAGATTTTAATTTTTTAAGTGAAAATACATATAATTAGTGGAAAATATACACACATAGTTTAACATTTTAATATTCAAAAACTTAAAATGAAAAACAGCAATTCCCCTACCTTCTCCCCAACCTTTTGTGCTATTCCCCAGAGACAAATGCTGTCAACTTTTAGCTATTTCTTCTATTATTTACCTCCATATTTCTAATAATATACTATGTCTTGATTTATTAATTTTGGACATTGTTGATGGACTTTTTTAACATATAGTTTTATTTATTTGATTGTTTTTGAGATTATACACAGCGAAACATATACCAGTTCAACAGTTTTTATATGTATAATTTATTGACACTGATTACCTTCTTTGAGTTGTGCAACCATTCCCAGTCTCCTTTTCTGAGTTACTCCTCTCCCATTATCATAAATTCACTACCCCCTAAGGTTCCTATGTAATCTTTGGAGTTGCTGTTGTTAATTTGATCCCATATAGAT